ACAGACACACGCACACACACTCTCGCTCATTCAGTTATCCACAAATAGATAGAGTGTCAACTGTTTTTTTTATTTTTTTGCCAATTGTTGCGCATGAAAAACTGCAGCGCATCAATAAACTTGAATTTTTTGCATAGCCCTCGTCCAGCTGGGGTCAGAGGTTAAACAGAGAGAGCGAGAGCGAGAGAGAGAGAAAGAGCGAGAGAGAGAGAGCGAGAGCGAGATAGTGAGCGCACTTGAAAACTGTTTGTATTCCCGGAACGTCAGCCGGCAATTGATGCGTTTTTTGCTTTTGAGCAGTTACTGCCTGGAAAAAAAAGGAAAGAAAGGGTTTGTGAAGGGGTTGCGGTGGCTGTAAGGAGTTAAAGGGTTAAAAAATGAACTCGCGCTTATAATAAACAATTTTCATGGCCTTTTTTTATGGCATCTACATATGTTGGCCTGGCCCGGAGCCAGAGCCTGGCCATAAACCAACAGAAGCCACCACACAGCCATAAACTAGCTGACATAGCCACCGTCTCGCTACGTTGTGCCATTCCACTTCGTTCCAGTTCAGTTTCGATGGTATACAGCAGACGAAGACATAACAAATAAGTGTAGAGAGTAGAGAGTGTAGCGTATAGAGAGTAGAGTGAAGAGAGTAGAGAGTAGAGTGTCGAGTCTATAGGCTAGAGTTTATAGTGTAAGTCCAGAGGCTACAGTCTAGAGTCAACAGTCCAGAGTTTACAGTCAAGAGTCTACAGTCTAGAGTCTACTATCTGAAGTCTACAGTTCAGAGTGTAGGGTGTAGAGTTTACAGATTAGAATATAGAGTCTACAGTCCAGAGTGTAAGGTGTAGAGTTTACAGCTTACAGTTGACAAAGTCTACAGTCTAGAATCTATAGTCTAGAGTCTATAGTCTACAAATGGGGTGTAGAGTTTTGATTGCTGTTGAGCTTAGTTTGGAGGCAGACCAAAGTAATGCAAAGGCACACAGTGCCACCTTCTGTTGTCATTGTTGTTGGACTTGTCGTACCTTTGTTTGCCATCTGACATAGACCCATCCACAGTCCAGAAGGCTCTATGTCTCCAGCACCCGCGCCCTTCCCACCCTAACAGCAACACAAAGTGCTCGACTTTAATTGAAAAACTTTTTTGCAGCCGTGTAAAACAATTGTGTGGGTGTGACGCTGCATGTCGTGGGTGGGGGCAGTGGAGGCAGACGGGTCGTCTCATATTTTGGGCGGGAAATCAATTAGAAAATTGTGGTGGCGAAAAATGTCCCGGAAAAATTGCCGAAACATAATAATAATAATTGGCAACCTATGGGCAGCCAGTGGGCAAGCAAAGTTGCATTAAATTTGCCATGTTTGACATGCAACGTGCACCGTGCAACATGCCACATGCTGCATGCCACATGCGACATGCCACAAGCAACTCAATTAAAAAGTTCAAAGTTGGTGGCACGCCCAAAAGAGTAGCTCGATGTCTATATGTAGCACGTAGTTTAAGTTAAACAAAAATCAAATTATTTCGATCCAGAGGGACACGTGGAACGAGCTTATATGGCGTGAGGGCAAAAATATACAATATAATAAATATTTTCAATAACTATAATATTTTATATTCATAATATTCAATATTCTATGTAATTAACTAATATTTTGCCGTACATTTTTAAATCCATCTGTCTCTCATGTGTATTTAAGAAAACGTTGGACCTGCATCTAACCGAGAGTCCCATGGACATTCTTAAATTTTGACTTCTCTGTAGCTCAGAGCTCTTTTCAGCATTATTTAAGTTTAAAGATATACTTTCTTAAGCTATATACAATTTATGGTTATAAAAATACTATCGAATGGGAAAGATTTTTCATTCACAAAACTATCGATAGCATAGGTCTACTAAATGTTCTTTACCAACACTAACAACGCTCATATTTCAGCACACCCACAAGCGCACTCACAGTGCCTCCCCTACCTATCTGCATGCATCCATCTCTTGTGAAGCATTTCAACAATTTCTCATGGCATTCCAAAGTTGATAAATTGCTTTCAATCTATGCATTCTCCGCACATTTCCTCTGTCGTTGTCCAACACTAATATTCACTAACCACAGCACCTCGTCACTGTCAGCTGCAACAGCAACAGCAACAGCAACTTTTGTTGCTTTTCCACTCCATTTGGCTAACTCAATGACAAGATACTCTATAGAGAGGGAGAGCGTTTCTTTATATTATTTGATTTGAATATTTAGCATATTTAAAATAATATATTTTATCAATATGGTTAACAAGAATCAAATACATGTTTATTAAATTCAGTAATAATCAAATTAAATTTATGTCTCAATAATCTAATATTTTTAAAGCTTAAATATGTGTATACATTTAATAATTACAAAAATTAATTTAATTTGATTATTTTGAGTTTAAGCCTGTTATATAAATATATGAGTAATACATAA